AAGAAAAAAGGCGGTGTAATGAAATCACAATAGGCAAATACAAAATTTAGAAATAGCAGCATCACAAATCAAAGATTAAAGCCCAACAAAGGCCTCATTTATCTTTGCCAATCAATTTCTAATCATCGGCCCAAAGCAATATTTTCATTTCAAATCACAAAAAATATGTATGTTTCTTTTGGTTCATAAAGAAAAAATAGTCAAAAACAAAGAGAAAAGCAGACTGCATTGCAGCCTGCACTGCTGCAACAAAAAAAGTTGGCATCCTAGTAAAAAAAGAGAAATACAAGAGGCCAAAATGCTGTCAAGTACAGACTGCATAGTAGCCCTGTGCTACTGTCCAAAATAGTCCAACAATTACACCATAACAGGCAACACAAATCTGCAACCAAAAAGCAATTAAGACAACAGTCCTATTTGTTCAATTTCTCACATTTCCCCCCTAAAACCTATTATGATTCATGAATAAAGCCAGCAAGAGAATTAGTTGATAAAGAAAAAAGATAACCACAACAACAAAAAGGAGAAGAAGGGATCGATACAAGCAGAAAACCAAACTAGAGCCAGCAACAAAAATTACACAGTAGCAGAATCAAGAGAAAAAAAACCCCAGCAAAAGCCAGATATCCAGAAGAACCATCCTCCTCCTCATCATTTTCCTCACACAACCCTTCAGAAATTAAAAGGAGAAAGAAAGAAAGTTTATAGAGGAGACTTCCCTGTCAAACGAAAAGCCAACAACAAGGTAAGCATACGTTATTTTTTTGCGTTCATACCTGTATTTGCATACATGTTGTTTAGTTAGAATACAAAAAAGGCACATAATAATTACAACAAAACTCTAAAAAAACATACTTTAAAATATTAGTTCATGTATCTCAGAAGAAGAGTATAAAGTAATAATGCAGTAAATTTTTTTTCAAAGCATAGTATAACCGTCCCTGTGAACAAGCTCCTGCTTACGTTACATGCAACGCCACCGCCGCCGCTCTTCGCGTTTCCTACAAACCCCATCATCTTCCTCTACCTTTTTCTCTATTTCCGCCGTGTCTGTCCTCTTTCAATGTCGCTGTAGCCAACACATCCATCGCCCTCTCATTATTTCATCCACCATCATCGAGCCACCACCTCTGTTCCCCTCCAACCATGCGTTTATCTCCTAAATCGACGGAGAAACTAGATTAGTTTTTCTCTTTGCATTGATGGGTGTCCTCATCCTAGGTTAGTGAAGAACCTGTTTCTGGGTTTCTTGTTAGATGAAGATGATACGATTAGAAGAGGGAAAGAGATTTGTGAATAGAGAAAGAGAGAGTTTGTTTGATTATCTTTTACGGTAAAAAACAAAAGAAGTTATTGGGACTAAAAAATTATTTAATTTTCTTCCATTCCCTATGCCCACTCCCAGCAGCGCCCTTCATCACCTTAGGGTTTCCAAAACCTTTAATTGTTCATTTTTAGACAGGGTCGGCCCAATGGGCCTCCTAACCTAATCCACTATCTCATGATGCCATTTTGTATTAATAGTTCAATATTAATAAACGAGCAGTAATCCGGTACAACTGGCAAAGCATATTATCCATAACCTTGAGGACCTGAGCTCGACTTCTGTTGGGGGCGTTTTTCCATTCTTGTGTTTTTTTTAAGCCTTTTCTTTCAATTTCACTAAAATTTGATTATACGTAGGTTTTATTCAATAAAACTTTAGAATTAATTTAATCCATATTTTGATTAAATTCATAATTAGCTTGTTTTAGGTTTAATTTAATAACTTAGAATTATAAATTTAGTTTAGGTTTACGTTAATAACTTTTTAATTTAGATTTAATTTTGTTAATCCTTAGTTTTAATTCTAAAAATGTATAGTTTCAAATTAATTAATTTTTTCAATTAGTTTAGGATTTTGTAAATTATTTTACTAACTAATTTTTGTATATTAAGTTTTATTTGGTTTATTTAATTTCTAAATAACAAAAATCCAAAAATAAAATGTATATACAAATGATTTAATTTTTTTTAATCAAATTATTTTCTTTAAATAAGATAGAATTTTATCTTTTCTTTCCATTATTTTCATAAACAAATAACAAAATTTCACTTCCATACTTTGTTAATTAATTTTCATTTTCTAGACTGTTATAACTTTAATTAATCGCTCAAATTCGATTTGGTTGTATTGTTTTCTATTTGGACTTTTTAATCGCATTCGACTCATCCCCATTTGTAAGAAATTGTACCCCCATTCTCGAAGGCTCTGTAATAGCGTAGAATTCTCATTTCCGCAATTTAATGTTTTCCTTATATTGTATAGTAATTAGGCGTGTATGACAAGACATAAAAACAATCGCTAGATAACCTAATTTTAACAAAATAACTTGAATCAAACACACTTTTTCACACACGCACCTCTAGGGTAACCTCGCTTGTTGCCTCGGAAACACAGTCATGTCCCTCGAATATGTGACGCTTTAGTAAAGACCCTTCGATAAAAGATCGTAGTCCCTCGATGACCCTCGAGGTTGCCTTCGACAAAACGATCTAGTCCCTTATGAAAACTGCTAAAGCGTCTCATAAGTTGCTTTCGATGACTGTAAGATTGACTTGCGCCTGTCACTTACATCCAACGATATGGCTTCTTACCAAATCAATGGTAAGATAACAACATCTAAAGGAGGAAGAAAATAACACTTAAAACCTTTTGAGTAGGTAGATTCGCTCCTAGTTACTTGCTTGCTCATGACAAAAAACATTTTTACACTGACACTTTCATCTCAAAACGTTTTCAAAAGACAAAACATTTTGTATACGTTCTTATAGAGACGAGAACCATTGCAAAACATCTTTTCAAAACCACTTTCAAAAACACATTCCACAAACACATCTTTGAACTATTTTTAAAACAAAACTTTGTACGCGTTCTTATAGAAACAAGAACCATTACAAAGACATTTTCAAAATACTTTTAAAGTCCACATCACAAGCACGTTGTCAAAACAAAAGCAAGTGATCTAGCGAGTAACTAAGAGTCCGTAGATAACTACGGATGAAAAGGGTGCTTACACCTTCCCTTTTCATAATCTACCCCCCGAACCCGAGAAATAATCTCGAAAGGTCTTTCATGTACTTTTTTACCTTTCCTTTTTTGATAAAAGAAAAGTCGGTGGCGACTCATGCTCACATTTTTTGAAATATGGAACAAACATAATATATGAGTTGCATTTGAAAACACATATTCCATGACATTCATTAATGCAAGTTCTCGGTCTGTCACCACAACCTTCGATATCAATTTCTCTGAAGAGAATAACTCTTTGATTTTCCCCAGTGCCCATGTGAAGTTCTCCTCACTTCCATGTTCCAAATAGGCAAAGGCAACCGAAAACATCAACTTTGTTGATGTAACACCAACAATCTCAAGCAGTGGTATCCGGTACTTGCACGATCAAAAGGCACATAACCAAACAACTCACTCAATATCTACAACATATTTTAGGATGTGAAAAGTAAAGTTCTTACCTATTTGTCTTGTACGTGCAATCAAAAATTAAGACCAGATGAAACATGATCAACAACTTCACAAAATCAGGAAGTGTCAAGAAGATATCAGCTACAATATCCGAGTTGTCCCTATTTCTTGTCTAACACATGTATTTCTCTTTGTGAATAAAGCTTAATAACATTTGCATTTCTGTTAATGAAGCTCTCTTGCCCATTTTATATGTTGATATAGCTTTCTATACTTGGGTAATACTCGTGAGGTTTTTTGGATCTTTGTCTTTCAAAGCAGAAACTATGTACCTTGGAGTCATATTGTACTTCGTCATGTCATTCATAAAGTTTCTTTCATGATCTTTTAGACGACCTAATATGTCATGAACTTCTAAATCGTTATCTAGTCTATGATTGTGCATCCCATATCTAACCATCACCTTCCAACCGATACCACTTAGGATAAATCTCAGTCTAAACAAACATTTAACCTCCATACTATAAATGCCATCAGAAGAATTAGTGGGTCCAGATGCGTTTTTTCTTTTGTAATTTCCTCCTTTCTCACAATCCATAATTAATTTATCCTTCTTCACTCGTATTCCATTAGCAGAATCAGAATGAACAATAACAATAATAATAATAATAATACCATGTTGTTTACCAGTAGACTATGCCCATGCTAAAACTTCAGACCGAGACTTAAAAACCTATCAATTACAACATATAATTATTAAACTTTATTAATTTCATAAATAATGGAAAACAAAAAAAATTGTATTAATTCAATAGAAAATATATGATATGTATAGTGAATAAATCTGTATAATCTATACATGATTCTGTAGAAGAAGTTGTCGGCTCTGGACCACACAGATACAAAATTTCATCTACAGACATACCAAAAATTTCAGACTTCTGCGAAATTTTCCGATATACCAGAAATTTGAAATTTTCGATATTTCATTTCGTCCCAGAAATTTTGTAATTTCCGATAAATCGTTACCAGCAATTTTAAAAATACAAATAATTTCCGATAAACGCGCAAGTTAAATACTGGAAATTTAGTTATGCCTACTTGAAATTTTGTTTTTCACCCTTTGACCAATAGTAATTTTTTTTATAAATATAATTATTGTAGAAGTAAATAATAACAAAGACATTTTGAGAATAAAAATAATTAGAGAGTGTCAGGCATAATATGAAAGGTGTGAGGTTAAATTTTTTTTGTTGGGTTAAGAAATTTTGAGAAAGGCCCATAACCAGCCCATTAAGAAAGCCCGATAATCAGAAAATGCATCAAAACCCTAAATTTATAAGTTTCAACCTCCCTTATAAACCCAGCCGCGATTTACATTTCAACTCTTTTCGATTTCAGAGCGTGAATTGACGGCGAGGTTGATTCAGCCACCCATCTCTTCTTTGTCGGTAAGATCGATCTTCTGAATACTCTTCCATTTGAGCACTATTTACCCGTAACTTATAGTTATCAAAACTTGTGAAACTCAGTAACCATGGTGAGAGTCAGTGTATTGAACGATGCTCTAAAGAGTATGTACAATGCTGAGAAAAGAGGAAAGCGCCAAGTCATGATAAGGCCATCATCCAAAGTCATTATCAAGTTCCTTATTGTTATGCAGAAGCATGGTATTTATCTAAAATCATGTTTTTTCTTTTTGAATTTGTTTTGGTTGAAAGATGCTTGATTAAAATTTATAAGGGTTTTTGATTTGATTTTATAATGGTTTGTGGTTTGCAGGATATATTGGGGAGTTTGAGTATGTTGATGATCACAGATCTGGAAAGATTGTTGTTGAGTTGAATGGCAGGTTGAACAAATGTGGGGTTATTAGTCCTCGTTTTGATGTTGGGGTCAAGGAGATTGAAGGTTGGACTGCCAGACTTCTCCCATCTAGACAGGTAATTCGTAACCCTAATTTTTCCCTGTTTTCTTATGTATCTTCTACCATCATTATGTTTAATTAGCTGTATCTCTAAATTTTATCGCTTTTACATGAGTTTTTAGAGCTTGTTTAAGTAGATGAATTTCATTTCTTTTGTATAGTTTCTAACTCTTATTCTGTTGCTTTTAGTCTAAGTACTTTATTTAGTACTGCTTGATGTTTTGTTTCTAGTGTCTAATTGTAGAGGGTCTTTTCAATTGAACTTAGACCGTCTTTTCAATTGACCTCAGATGTATGGTTTCTTATGCTGTCCCTTACATTTTGGTAATTCATAATATGCAGTTTGGTTACATTGTTTTGACCACTTCTGCTGGCATTATGGATCACGAAGAGGCTAGGAGAAAGAATGTTGGTGGTAAGGTCCTTGGTTTCTTCTACTGAGAATTTTGTGGTTTCAACCGGATGTAATGGATGATCCTTGTCCATAGTAATTCCAGGAGCTGTTTTTGTTATGTGATTTTATTTTGGGAAACCTAGTTATTCAGTATAATTTATCCAATTTCTTCTATATATTTTTGATTGTACCGGAATGTACTGTTATACTTGTTTTGATTGGCAAAGACATTTATTAAAAGTTTTGAGCATATTAGAGTTGTTTGAATTAGTATGGTCCAGTTAGTTGTTGATATTGTGTTGAGTATCAACTAGTTCTGAAATTAGATTACACTCAGAATAATTTCTTGTTTAAAACTCCACAATTTGAGTTAGCCTTGATTCAAATCGTCTGAATATAAAAATGCATTTAAAATTTATCAAACATCTTTTACCGAGTCATGCAAAACATGTTTGGATGAATTGAAGAAATTAGTAGATGGATTACATGTAAAACAACGACCAAGTCTTATTCCACTTTTGGATGTCTGTTACATATAACTTTTGCCATAAATTTCTCTCCAGTAGAAATCGTAAGGTGACAGGTAAATTTCAAGAAACATCTACAATGAACAGCTTGTGTTCTAGTTTAAAATTTGTTACTAGTAAAACATTCTTGCAATTGCAAAGTTTGTCTATTGACACATCAATCAACATTTTCAGAAATGGATCTGTTGGCATTTCTGATATATGTCTGGATTTTGTTTGGTACTGTCCTAACTAGTTTAGAAGTGTAGATTGATGGGGGCGACATTCCATACCTTATCTGTTTGTCCTTTTGAAGTTGCGATAAATTTCTACACAAATCTTATAATCACAAGTATGCTCATACATCACTTGGGGCTTTTGTATTATTGGCACGTGAGATTCTACCCATGTAATTAGTTTACAGAACACTGATACAATTTTGAAGTACATTATTTTAGTTTTTTAAAGATAGCGTAACAAACATATATTTGCCTTATCCTAAAAAGTTTTTTTTTTTTTTATTATATTGCTAATTTTCATCCCAATAAAGTTTTGTTTTGTAAAAGTTATGTACATAATTTTTTATAAAACTCCAATTTATGTAATGGAATGAATTGTTAATTTAGCAAATACACTTGTACTAATGAATAAATAAAAAATAATTCATACTACTATTTTCGTCTCAAAATAAGTGTTGTATTTGTAAAAAAAATTGTCTTAAAATAAGTGTCACTATTTCTCACTGTGCATTAATGATAATAACATAGTAGTATTAAGAAGAAAAAATGATAATTGTCAATTAATTAATATTGTTGTCAAAAAATTTAGTTATCTTGATTTAAATGGAAATTCTGCCCTAAGGATTATCATAAGGGTATGTCAACATGTTTTGATAAAAAAGACGGGATTACATCTGGAATTTATTCTTTACCTAAATAAGAAATGATAATAGCAAGTCTTCTTCTACCCCGTAAAAAGAGTTCTCATATAATTCTTGAAGTCATCATCCCTCATAATCATAGAGAATAGAATTATATGAAAATTAAGTTAGAACATTAATTTAATAATTTATTTATATTATTAGTTATTGACATTGATCTTACCGGATCAGATTTGGACCGTCACGACTGATTCGAGCTGAATTTGAGTGAGATGGGGTACCTCCAAGACACTCCGATGCTAAAATGAGTGGCGGAATGAGCATGCAAAAAATGTATAGGTGCGTAATAGATGAATACCTGACCCTCTGGGAACATAGGGTATTTATAGCCCCCAGCGCTGGGCCAAGGTCCCCTCAAGGTTCTACGTGCGTAGTGGGGCCCCGCACGTGGTCCTCTTCCTGGTGGTACTCTGCGAAATAAGGAGGGACGAAGACGCGGTCTTTCTGGAGTTTAGAGGATTCGATAACGGTCATAATGGACAGAATCTGCCCTACGGGGAGGGTGCTCGAGCAGGACTCGAGCTGGAGTTTCCTTGGTCGGGGACACTGCGTGTCGCGGACAATGGCGGGCGTAGTGGCTACAGTCTGTTATCGGGCACGTCGGTGGTGGTCCGCTTGTGAGCATTCCCCGAGGAGTCTGCTTGGATTGGGCCCTTATCTGCGCTTTGGGCCAAGGTGGGCCCAGTCCAGAACATGAGCCCCCCAAGTCGTTGGTCCTGGGGCAGGAGTTATGACTTGATTTCAGCTCGCCTTTACCACGGGGATCTGATGCGCGGACTAGGGTTTGCCTTTCCGACGCGCGCTCGAGGAGTTTCTCGCGGGCTGCGTTCCTCGGATACGCAGCGCAATCCTCGTCGACGTGTGTTCGAGGGATTCCGCGCGGGCTGTGTTTGTCGGATACACGAGGCAGTCCTTGGGAATCGTAACGCCACCCTAGTAACAATAGGGTCATCATTATCTAGGGGAATAGATGTCGAGGACAGGGAAGTTCGCGGCTCCCCGGTGCGACGTTTCGTATTCCACGTCATCCCTATAAATAGGATCCTTGGGCCCATAATTTGTTTTTCTTCTACGCGCTTCTCCTTCTTCCTCTGCTTTCGTCGTCGTCGTTTACTGTAACGCCGTGAGATCACTGCACCATTCTCCGTTGATTACTTCCATCGTTGTCGTACGTTCCTCTTTCTTTCAAGTAAGTGTTCATTCCTCCTGTTTTTCTTCGTTGTAGGTAGTTTTGACGTTATTTGGATGTTAGAAACCCATATCTGGGAGTAGTGCCCGGTAGATTCATGATTGTGCCCGGTAAACTCATTATTTTAGGTACATAACTTGCGATGCTGCCCGTGACCTTCATAGTTTTAAGCATATGATTCATGATACTGCCCGTGACATTCATAGTTTTTAGGCGTATGACTCATGGTGTTGCCCGTGACATTAATAGTTTTAGGCGTATGACTCATGGTGCTGCCCGTGACATTCATAGTTTTGGTCGGCGCACCCATGAGCTGGTCGGGATGTTGATCCCTTAGGAAGTATGTAGGGTAGCCCCTCGCAGTATCCTAGTGTCGGGCAGGCGAAGTCAGGACCTTGCTCGAGTCATCCATGTTTTTCGTCCGGGGTGTTCGTGTTATTCCCTTGTTGTCCCCGATGCCCGGTCGGAGTTGGGGTGTTCGTGTTTGGCTTGTTGTGTACTACTTCCTGTCTCCGTGGCGAGCACGCGGGTTTGCTCTCGAATTTCACCGATTTCCTGTGCTTTGCAGGTAAATGGCCGACGAATCGGAATCTTCGAGGCAAAATGAAGCCGAGGACCAAAGTACCAAAGAGAACGTGACTTTAGTCGATACCATCGATGACCCCTCATTGGATTGGGTGGGCGCCGAGCCCCGGGGGATTGCCTCGGCATACTGTCGGTGTAGTCGGCGTGCATATACTGTCGTCGAGCACGGCGGTAGCCATCCAGGTTTCCAGAAGAATTTTATGGTGATGAGGTCGTCAATCAATGCGCGAATCTGCTCGGAGTTTACCGAGTACGGGTTTCCTATGTACGAGATCGTGTTCAGGGATCTCGGTCTTAAGCTCTCCTTCAGCAATTTTTAAGCCGGGGTGTTCTGCCATCTGAACTTGGCCCCTTCGCAGCTTCACCCTAATTCGATCGCCTTCCTTCGGGCGTTCGAGCTGACGTGTCATTTTTTGAGGATCAGAGCGACGATTCCCCTTTTCTTCAGGGTCTTTCACCTACAACGTCAATCTCGAGGAGGCAGGCATAGCTGGGTATCCCTGAAACAGTCGAAGAGGCTGTTCATGATGTATATGGATTCGGTAAGGGGCTTCAAGGATAAATGGTATGTTCTACAGCCGGTCACTCAAACTGCCTTGGATTCCTTGTTTGAATCGGAAACCGCGGTGGTCGACAAGGACGGGGAGCCCCTCATGGATGCTGAGGGTCGTCCGGCAGTAGGGCGCATTTCCAAGTTCCCGATACATTGGTGCTCGAGCCATTACGACCATGGCACCGGGTACTATCATACGCCCGCGGGAAGCATGAGCGCCGAGGACGAGGAGGCCTATGACGTCCTTTGCAAGTATGTCGACAACTTCTTCCCTGCCCGGTGGGTCACGAGGGAGGGGGATGATATTCTTGACGAGGAAGGGTACCCGACATTCGAGGATCGTCCCATCGACACGAAGGCGCTCGTCGAGTGTCAATCTTACGGGCAGACCATAGATCTACTAGGTCTCTTGCTTCTGCCTTTATTATTGTTTTATTCTGTTTTCGTTGTTTTTGCTTGCTTGCAACTAACCCCGAGTTTTGCTCTTCTTTGCAGGAGACGTGGCTGGACGACGGGAGAGGCTGCTGAAACTAACTCAAGACAAGAAAGTAAACAAAAGGCTGGTGTGAGATCCGCAAGCCACAAGGATGGGCCCGCCGGCCAGTTCGGGCGATGCCTCTAGTGGGTCCCCGGGCTCCCCTGACGCTGAACAGCCCACCGAGCTGATTACCAGAAAGAGAAGTCGGACTGATAACAGGTCGGAGGTTGGAGACGAGTCCGTAGCTGCGAGGGCCTTCGGCTTATCCCCTATTTTAAAGAGAAAGATTTCTTCGAGGGGTTTCCTCTGACGGTGGGCAATGACGAGGCCGAGACTATCAGACGACTCGACAAAGAAAGTCGAAGGAAACACCTGGCCGCCAGCATGGTCGGGATGGTGAAGATGGCCGAGATGGCCGTTGTCCTTGCCGAGGAAGGGTCGGACTCCTCGGACCGTGTTAGGGAGTTGGAGTCGGAGAAAGTTGCCCTCGCTGCCAATTCTCGTAAGTTAAAGGCGGCCCTCGAGCGGTCCGAGGAAATGTTTCGTGAACAAGCCGACCTGCTGGCGGGGGAGAAGGAAAACTCCGGGAAGGTTGTTGAGGAGAGAGATTGCCTCCAACTGGACAAGGAACGCTTGGAGACTGAAAATGAACGTTTGTCTAAGGAAGTCGAGGAGCTAAAAGTTGTTATGCTTCCTGCTGACGATGAGTCGGAGGAGACAACCTCTTTGTGGACCCGTTCGGATTTGGTCGCGCACATCCACCTCCTTGAGACAAACTGTGTCGGCGCTTTAGCAG